GGCTTACCTTGCTTTTGAGGCTCGTCATCTTCGAGCTCTATCTCATGACTTCTTAGTGAGCTGACAAGTTCCTCCAGAGATATCTTGTTGAGATCTTTTGCCAGCTTGAGAGCAGTGACCATTGGCCTTCATTGCTTTGGTAAACTTCTGATGATCTTCTTTACGTGATCAGCAGTAGAATACCCTTTGCCAAGAACTCTCAGCCCAGCAACTAGAATCTGGAATCTTGAGAACAATGCTTCAATGGATTCACTTTCTTCCATCTTGAAGGCTTCGTATTTCTGAATGAGCGCAAGGGACTTGGTTTCTTTAACTTGTATGTTGCCTTCATGCGTCATTCTCAGAGATTCAAACATGTTTTTAGCTGTCTCTCTCTTTGAGATCTTCTCATACTCTGAATATGAGATTGCACTAAGAAGAATCATTTTGGCCTTGTGATGGTTTCTGAAGTCACGCTTTTGCTGGTCAGACATTTTTTTCTATCAATCTTCTGACCACTTTCATCCACAGGATGCATGTATCCATCAATTACCATATCCCATAAATCAGTCTGTGTACACAACATAAATATCTTTGTAGCTTAACTTCTGATCCACTTCCGTTCAGAACTTATGTACAAAATAGAACACAAATTTAGAGTGCATATTTGTTCTTTGTGTTTTTTTATCATCAAAACTCTTACAAGGGTTGTAGAATCAAACTATGTTCTAACAAATATTATCTTTGTCACTAGTATCCTTGAACCCTGAACGTTACCTTTCTGACATGTATTTTTCTTTATCCTTTTCCAACTAACGAACTTTAGCTTTTAATTTTTCTAACTCTTCCATTTTTTCTTCATTTCTATGACATTTTCTCTTTTGATGGTTACCCAAATATGTTTGAGTCACCATAAATACCTTATCCCTCACACGATCAGTATACTTAGGAACATTTAATACTCGACTAAGTATGCTCCTGCAATCATGGTCTTCAGCTTGGGTTAAAGATTGAGATAGATTCTCCTGAAATTCATATGCATACCGAAATAAATTAGCGGTGATTAAAACTCATAAGTTATTTATGTTAATAAACTTTTGATTTAATTAAAAGAATATTGATATACTTAAACATTTCTCATAAATTTGAAACACATCTTCCTTAACAACTTCATCCTTACCCACATGAGCAGTCTTCCACAGGACATGTTCTGGAAGAGATGTTTCCTGACTTTTCTCCTCTTTTAACTACACATTAAGAGATATAATAAGATCAATTGTAACACATGATTAACAAGTATATCAGATCATTTGTATATACTTACCATTCTTTGTTATAAGCATGAATATCTCATACTCCCTTTTCTGTATGGATACAGGGGACTTGATGCTCGTTGGCAATTTACGACATTCACATCCTGAAAATCAAAGGTTCTTCGTTTGACTTTAAATGTTTCTCATACTTCAGGTGAAATCAAGTATGCATACGTCATTGGAAGTTCTGAATCGATAAAATTGTTATCGGCATCCCTAAGAAACTTATTTGTCAAAAAAGATCGAAACCCTCTGGTCTTTTTCCGGCCAATTAAAGACAATATGTTTTTCGATCATCATCAATGTTAAAAGACCTCTATAGAAAAAATACATAGAGTGCGTTAGTAATTTAAAGACATAATCGTCAACATAAACAAATGACATCACATATGGTACCTGTATATCACTCCATATTTTATCTCTGGCCTAATAACAAAAGAAAAACAAAACCAACATCATTTCTTAGAAAATATTTTTTCATTTTCAGAAAACAAAGGAACCTTTCACATAATGATAATAGTTTATAAAAACAACTTGTATTAAAACAACTTAAGCATATTTAAGTTCCTGAAATTCAAACCAAAATGAAGAATCGAACCGTATATACGAGAAGAAATGCATATTCAAACTTTAAAATCGAATTCTTTGATAAATAGTATGTCAATCGACAAATTATACTCTGGGGGGCATACCTAGCCATAGAGAAATCCATTATGATATTATCAATTTGAAGTTAAACTCTCCTGTTTACAACTTTTCACTTAATCACTACCCTTCCTGAATTTTTATCTAAGACTCACCTAGATATGAGGCCCTCCTCAATCCCTCTTCAATCACAGACATCGATTGGATCCACACAATTTTGAACAAACAAGAAGACACACTTCCATGACAATCACTAGCCAAGACTCTTGACTAAGACCACAACTTAGAGTTTCTTCAAAGCTTCCTCAAAGAACAATACCCAACTCATTACTTCACAGCTTCTGAGTGAGAACAACAATAACTAACTCACAACCTGAGTGGTTCACTTACCCCAACTCTCCTAGAGAGTGGAAAAAAGACAAAGCCCTAGACTTATACATATTGATCCTGTGCCTTTCCTAGGTTATAAACACTTCTATTTATAAACTATATCCAGTTGGATTTGGGCCTTTAAATAACAAAATATCAGCTATAACAAACATCAGTAATGTCTTCTACAAATAAGATCTTCAATCAAATTTTCCTAAATTATCTCCAAATTTAGAAAATATATATTCTTCAATATTATGATTGATTCTTCTTGACCTATAAATAAGAGCCCTATAATGTTGCATAATATTTCCCAAAATATTATGTATCAGTTAAATCATAATTGAACCTAACCATCCACTTCAGCTCAGGCGCGATGTCGTATGCTCCTTCATAGGACATCTTATTCGACATGTTGTTCCAGATTTGAAACTCTTCAACTCAACATGTCTTAACATAATATATGACTTATTGCTTCAATTTGTTCCTGTTAGAAAGTTAATACATTCCTATCTAACATATTGTTGTATTATTTGTTTTAAAAAAATTAATGTCAATCCTTAAAACTAGAGAACTTTATAATGCAAAAGAAATGTTTGGACGAGTGACTATGAGATAATTCAACTTTCCAACCAATCTCCTATACCTTCTTGAGTCTGATAGAGGCTCCCTCTGATTGGATAGTAGTTTAACACTTGGATTCATATGAGTATCAACTGGTTTAACGTTCAACAAAGTTGTTTCTTCCAAAATATCCATAACATATTTCCACTAAGAAATCACTAAACCATCTTTAGATTGGGCTACATCAATTACCCAAGAAATAACAGAGTTTAGCAAGATCTTTTGTCTGAAATTGATTTGAGAGATGTTGTTTTAACTGAAGTATTCCCTGTTGATCACTACCAGTTATGACAATATCACTTACATATACAATAAGATAAATACACCCTTGAGTTAAGTGACGATAAAAGACAGAATGATCAGCTTCACTATGGACCATACTAAATTATTGTACTACAATGCTGAATCTGCCAAACCAAACTCTCGGAGATTGCTTAAGACCATAAAGAGACATTTATAGTCTACAAACCGTATTCGATGACTTCCTCTTCAAGATCACCATGTAAAAATACATTATTAATGTCAAGTTGATGAAGAGGCCAATGTAGAATGGCTGCAATGGCTAGAAGAAGTCTAACAGATTCCATCTTGACTATAGGCGAAAAGGTATCACTATAATCCAACCCAAAAATCTGAGTATATCCTTTGAATACCAAACGAGCTTTAAATCGATCAATCTTACCATCTGAACCAACTTTCAATGAATAAAACCATTGTCAACCTACTAAAGATTTCCTAGGGGGTAGAGGAAACAATTCCTAGGTACCACTGCTTTGAAGAGCACACAATTCATCAATCATTGTTTACCTTCACTTAGGGTGAGATAATGCTTCACCTAGAGTTTTAGGAATAGAGCTAGAAGACAAAGAAGACAAACTCTGATACCTTATTGAATTAGGAAAGACTAAAAGACATTTAGGTTAAACCGTGTGGTTTGAAAATCACTACAGAGACTGTATTATATATAGGCAAATTATAGGTAATTACATGATATAGTCGATGTGGGACATTCTATATACAAATATTCTTAACGCTATGTATTTAAAAATATCAACAGTAATATTAATAGAAAATTAAAATTGCATATCACTGATCAAGGATATTACATGAAAATAGGTCGACGAAATCGAACCCTAAGAAAAAATTTCAATTGTTGAACACCAAAGTTCATTTTACTTTTTGTTATTTTATTTTTTTTCGTAATCACAAGAAGCCAAACATCTGATAAATCCTTCTTAAAATCATAGAAACTATTGAACAATCTTTAAAACACATTCAATCCATATGAAGACGAGAAAACTACACTTATTTTCTAAAGTGCAACACACATATAATATATTAAACTGAAAAGATTATTTTCTCCTAACCATAACAAATATTAACTAACGGGATTAATCATTAAATACAATAAAAAGTTGAATATAGTAAGTTGAGAATAATAACAAATTTTGGTTAATATTGAAAAATAAATTTAATTATGTTTTTATCATATAAAACTAAGTAAATTTGTTTTTTCTTTTTAAATTTCAAACAACAATCATTTAAAAATGAGTTTAGTATAATATTAAAATAGCTTCAATATGAGTTTTGATATTTTTATTACTATTTTATAGTGCATCTTGAACCTTTTTTAAAATTACATTGTAGACCAAATGTTGCTCGTAGATGTTGACGAACTAACTTTTATTTTCTTTCAATTTCTTTCTGGCCATATTTGTTTATTCTCTAAAAAAATAGTTTAATATATTTATGTAGACATATACTTATTTTGACATTAAAATCATTATGCTTATTATGTAAGGTTTAAATTCGAAATTGAGATTCACCATTCCTTCACATTTAAAATGCATAAATCTAATCGCTATTGATATTAACAATACTAATGTTTATTGTTAAATAAAAACATAAGTAATGGGAAAAGATCATTGAGAGAGATGAGAGATTTTGTATGATATTGTAACAAAATATAGTAGTCAATCATAATAGTAGTACAACATAGAAAGCTTATCACAAAATAATGCATGCATCGAGCATGCACAAAATAAAAAAGCAATTTTGCTAATTAATTGATTAAGTATTAATGGAATGACCAACACCAGGACTGTGTCCTGGATTTGTGGGCCTAAAAGCTTCAACATCTCCTTCCAAAAATCTTTTGCTTGGGTGACTTGGTTTTGCAACTGCAAATTCTCTTGTGCTTGTTGCAGTGTTCATTATTTTGGTAGACTCAGTGTGTGGTGGATGAATGCTTTGTCTCAAAGTTCTTCCCTCGGTGGTAGTGAGTAGTTCATGAGACAAAAGTACTAGTACGTAGAACAAAAAAATGCGAGCTAAATGTGCCATTGAAAAATGTGAGAGTGAGAAAGTAAAGAAAAAAAAGAAAAAAAAGCTAAAAGATAGAATTTGGGAGAAGGACTTAAGAATATATGACTGAGTTTATATTTGAAAGGCTTACATCAAAGTGGTATTTATAGAGGTTGAAAAGGAGAAGCATGTAAATTGCTTCAATCTCTGGTGAAAAAGTGGAAAAGGTTAATTAGACAAAAATGGAAAGATAATTAATTAATTAATTAATTAATTAATTAATTAATTAATTTAGCAAGGGGATATTCTTCATATGGGTTCAGGATTCAATTTCAATTGCATTTACTGAGTAGTCTTAGTTATTGGTTTATGAGAAAGTACATTGCTAAGTAAACTGTAGAAGTGTTTGGTTTAAACAAAGTTATTTTAAAGGTTAACTAAATCATGAGTGAAGAGCATACATATTCGATATATGTGAGGGGTCCCAGTTGAAGGAGGTAGTTGGCTCAATAATAACATTTTAAGATTGTTTTGGTGACATTCTTGGATGTATGTAAGGAAGTGTGTTATGTGAGAAACTTAGTATTCTGAGTTAACATTTCACTATAATTATAATAGATAAGCATTTTTGAAAGTATTCTGAATTTATTATAAAATATGTAGATTGTTTGTTTTTCTATACACCTCACTAAATAAATACAAGTATTTAAATTGATGAAGAAGAAAATAATATGAAAATTAAACTATTTTTGACAAACAACTTAAACAAACTACTATTTTTTTAATTGTATGCATGTCATAACTCATATCTTGCTCTTTAAGATATAGAATATGGTTTAACGACTCAAGTCCTTCATAACATTGATTCCTTTTTTTTAGTTTATTTTGAATATCATCAACTTGTTGACTAATTCTGACGTATCATCGTAAAAATCATGATGATAGTGACGATGATGAGTTAGAATTAGTCAATAAATTAATATTATTTAGAATAAACTAGAAGAGAAGGAATTGATGTTATGAAAGATTTAGGTCATTGAACCATATTCTATATGCTAAAGAGCGAGAGTTATGAGACAGATGCAATTTGAAAAATATTGAATGATCTAAGTTGGTTTTCAAATATAACTTAATTTTCATATTATAACTTTCTAAATCAAGTTAAATGAATGCATTTTCAGTGAAGGGTTAGTGAAACAAACAATCTACATACCTTATAATAAATTCAACTGGGTTTTATGTAAATATGCATAAGAAACTAATGTTGTAAGATTCACAACAAAAAAAAACATTGTTAAGTCACAAGAATATTTTTCGTATAACTTAGCAATATTTTGTTCTTTTTCTGAGAATATTAATCAACAACAATAACATACAACAACATTTATCAACAACATAACAACAACATACAACAACACACCTTTTATCAACAAAACACAAAGAACATACAACAAGACAATGCAACATAAAATGTTTTACAAACATACCTTTTATTCAAAAGATTCGTGGAATTAATGTTGAAGTTCATATACTTTATGTTGCTATGAAAAATAATTCATGGTGGAAAAGTTTACACAATAACTTCATATTTCTTGTATTTTTTTTTCATAGCAACGCCAACCATATATAAACCATAACTAATGTATATGCTTCGTTAAGGTAATTTTCTTTATTCACTTTTCCTAAAAGTCAAAAACCATCGTGAAAAATGAAAAGAGATTTGGAAACACAAACTACAATTAGAGTTGGACCAGATTTCAAAACATAAACATCATGACATTAACAACATACATGGAATATCTACCAAATGAAAAAAACAAGAATATCATGTCAAATGAAAAAATCTTTTTAAAAAAACTAGTGTCATACATGGAACAAATATGAAAAATCGAAGAACTTGATTACCTTTAAGTTTGAAGAACCTTATGAGGACAAGTTCGCTGCATGGAAGAGAGATATGTTAGGATTTTGTTTTGATAAAAATGGAAGAAAGCTTATGAAGAAGAGTAAAGATAAAGATTATGAACTTTATTATCTTTACGTTTGAATAAGTTTATGAGGACGAGTTCACTACATAGGAAAGAGAGAGATGTTAGATTTTTATTTTGATAGTGACGGTTATTCTGTGCTGAAACTTAATAACTTTGCTTATATATATATATATATATATATATATATATATATATATATATATATATATATATATATATATATATATATATATATATATATATATATATATATATATATATATATTACCACGGTTTTTTAAGAAAACTATGATAATAAGTATGAACTATTCACAACGATTTCAATAATTAACAGTGGTGATAATTAATTTTATATTAATATATTTATATATTATATTGACAACCCTCTTTTTTAAGGAAAAGAAGAAAAATTGTTGGTTTTAAGAATAAAAGCAAGTAATCTTTAATATAGCACAGCACTTATGTTATAGGATTGTGATTAAATATATTTTAATAAAAAATAAAAAAGACGCGCGTAAACGAGTTATTACCACGGTTAACATAAAGATCGTTGTAATAATATATTATGAAAGGTTTTTTGTAACCGTGACCTAAATATCTAGTGTATCCTTATTCATTGCGTCTTAGAACTTAGGATTATTAATTAGCATATTTATATTATTATATTCCACCCATCTTAAAGAAATACCTTCTCCTCAAGATGCAATTTAAGAGTAAAATTCAATTGATAAAATAATAGAGGTATATGATCCAATTTGAGAATATCAAACCAATAACAAAGGTTCACATCAACCATCACACTTCCATTTAAATCCTTCTATAGCAATTTATTGGACTTAATGTTATTTATATTTGGCCCATAATATCTTTTAATTCTTGCACTAACACCTTGTCCAAAAGGTGTATTCCAAAAATACTAATAATGATATGTTACAACATAGAATTAAACAAAAATACTAACAAGGATGAGATGGTCTACATCAACGAGATAAGAAGAACAAATAAAGTTGTTTTCAAGAAACACGACGACCTTAACTTGTGTTTCTACTACTTTGGCCTAAATGACATTATCCTCACGTCCTCTTGTGCCGGTGAACAAGAATGATGGATATAATGGTCGTGTAGTAGAAACTAAACAATTATTCTTCGGAACCATGGTTAAAGAGGGAACAAAATCTAAACCGTAAAAAAGAGCAACGTGATTGGTTGGAAATAAACTTGGAAGAAGTTTTGTTTGCTCCCGTTCATTTATTATGTGTGCCTTTGATTTTTCATAATTTTCAGAAATAGGGAAATGACTTTCATCGGTGATGACATAGTTTAGAATTGTGATCCTTTGTGGCTTATTTGTTTTTGTATATTGTTCCATGAATTTTATTAATGATGTTGTTTTTGTTTTCTTGGGGAGCGTTTGTTTCAAAGATTCATAAAAGATTTTTAGGAATAAGTTGTCATGGGATTAAAAATATGAAGATTTAATTTTTGGGTATTTTTCTACATATTTGTTTTGCATATAATTTGATGTTCCTTGGAAAGTGAGTAGTCATATTTTTTTCAAAATAATTACGTGAAATTTCATGGGAATGAGCATTCCCACCTTTTCATGAGAATAAAACCATGGAAATTATGAAAGTTATGGAAGTTATTTGATTCCAAAGAATAATTTATTTTCAAACTTGTAACAAACATGGAAATAACTATTTCTCACCCATGTATTCTTAGGAATATATTTTCTAGAGTTGAAACAAACTCCCCCTAGAGATTTGGATTCAACCACATGAGCACCAAGGATTTACAGTTGAGTGGTTACTCTATTTTGAGGGTGAGCAATATTCAAAAAATTTCTTTAACGAACTCAATAAAGGATCAGAAATGGAAGCCAACTCACCTTCAATATTGAGTTGTAAATTTTTAATTTTGTTCTAACCATTCATGACTAGATCAAAGAATAATGCAAAATGTGTATTGGTGGGAATGATCGATAATCGAGGTAGTGTTTTTTGGTTGTTGAGAAATTGGAGTAAGTGAATACCACAATGGATCTGATGTGTGGTTGTGAGGATGGAGTTGAGGAAAATGTAAGTAAGTGAATACCACATTTTTTTCTTCCTAGGATGGAGTAAGTGAATACCACATTTTGTTAAACTAGCTTTTCAATGTTCGGGAGCAGATAAGGGTCTTTTAGGAAGGCCCTGTTAAGATCGATATAGCTGACACATATCCTCAATTTCCCTGAGGCATTTTCACCAATATGACATTGAATAACCAACCAGTATATGCAACCTCAAAATTAAATTAAGCGTGTAATAGGCCTTCGACTGTGCTAGCAGGGGCCTCCTATTTTTCTAGAGATTGTCTCCTCTGATGCTGGGAAACATAACGAGCCTTAGTGTCTATGTCCAGGTGGTGGCATACTATGTTACAATTAATTCGAGACATCTCATACGAGTTTATCATGAAAAGGTTGACATTATCTTAAAGGCATTCAATCAATGTGGTTCTTACTTCTAAGGAGATGCATGTGCCTATTTTAACTGACTTGGACAAGCCTTCCCCGAGATAAATGGTCTCACAATCCCCATCTAGCACCAGCTGAACCTTGTCCTCCAGAGCACCTAGGTGGAAATCCCTGAGATATATCCTTTATGGAACTTTGTTTTCCAAGTAATAGATTATTAATCAAGACAATCATCTTTTGATGATGAAAACTATAAATAAAAGTACAAAGAAATCTATCATGATAAAGATGCAACCAATGATAAGTCAGACAGTGCACTTAAACAGTTAAAGATGCAAGCATGAATATAAATGTTTGATAAACATGACTATTAAATAAATGCAAACAAACTGGATTCTAACTAAATCCTCAAGAGATCTCAAGTAGTTGTTAACACAAAAGATCACAAACAGCAAGGTTTAGAGAAAATATCTTAAATTAGTAAGTGAGTTAAATTATGTAAAAACAAAGAGAATTTTCATAGAAGTATATGGCTATAAACACACACACTAAAAAAAATCTCAAATGATTTACCAAAAGAAAATACTTTG